AGCGCCCGACCTGCGACTGGGCCCTGAGCTCCTTCAGGAGGTCCTGCGCGTCGGACTCCTCGCTCAGTCGGCAGGGCACCAGCGGCAGCTGGGCCGCAAAGCTGGAGTTGCGGCCAGCGCACAGGAAACGTGCCACAGTGGTGCTCCCGCTGGCGCCGCACTCGTAGAAGGCGCCCCCGAGCAGCGCCACGGCCACCCAGGTGTGGACGCGACCAAGGCGGCCCCGGGGAGCTGAGTCCTCCCAGGGGCCCCGCGCCGCTCCGCGCCGCAGCCGGCGCAGGCGCCCTGGGCACAGCAGCAGCGGGTCACCAAGGGCCAGGCGCGCGCGCTCAGCACGTAGGTCAGGAGGAAGAGCTCCGGCGCCGGCCCCAGCAGGAAGGACAGGCCGTAGGGCAGGTTCCAGGTGGCGCTGCAGGGACACTGGAACACCACGGTGGAGAGGAGGCGCACCCCGCCTGCTGTCAGCAGGGTGGCCAGGCCATAGCCCGGGACAATGGAGTACTTGGGCACAGTTTTAGCACCTCCGGAAGCTTGTCCATGGTCCTTCTACCCCAGATGTCAAGGACCCGTCCGGATGCTTCTGCCTCTTCGCTGCCCTGCTCCTCTAATGGTTTGGGAGAACTCGGGGCTGGGGCTTTGCACTCTGCTAATAAGTAGCTTCCGAAAAGGGATGGGCTTTATGGCCTTCGTGAGCTTTGCTTTCTTATTTCAACCAACCGGCTCTGGCTGACAAACAGACCCAAACACACACCATTGACCTCCCCAGTACCCACCCCTTTCCAGGGGCCTCCGCACTGGTGGCCTTTCTCCCCCAGTTCAGGAACTGTGACAGAGGATACACCACTCTGTTCCATTATTACCTTTGTTTCCACCGAACTCATAAGGAAAATTGGTTTCCTTACCCTTCCTGACCCAATGCAGCCACTCAATGGAAAGAATACTTCTGACCTGGGCAAACTGGGAAAAAGCCAGATTTTCCTCTGTTGCAGCCATCCTAATTGCTAAGCCAACTCCTAGTAAGACCAAACAGTCACACACAAAAAGGATCCAGTTCTAGGGCCTCCAAGATGTTCTGTCCCCTTCGTGTCCCCCTCTGGACAGAACCACCAGCCTAATTCACACTGACTGTTCTCTCCCCTGCCTAATCTCCCACAGGATGCTAGACTGAATATATTGTATTGACTTCTACCTCTTTTCCTCCTCCAGGTGTGTCATGACACTGTCCGTACCTGGAGGATGTCAAATTCTTACCCAGTGACCACCAAGTGAATGGGGAGAGGGGAGTATATATGGTTGTTCAAAAAAATACTAGTTAAACCAAAATGTTCACACTGAAGCTACGTCTAACTACCATATTGTTTCCTCCACCTTCAGTTTTCTCAAAGCAGCATCGCTCTGTCACAAACTGTAACTGGAACAATATGGCTGTCTTCAGCTACTATTAATAGCAAGGCTGTGTCTGAATCTCTTCTAAGGTCAAGGCTTTAGGGCAGCATAACACCAGGGTGATTATGAAGAATTGTTTGGTGAGCCAGCAAATAAGCATATACTGACTGGAGAAACGCTTCTTGGGTGGGGCCCGGCTCAGAGGAGTGGTGTGTCCTACGAAACAGGGGTGACCATGTTCCTACCAGGAAATAACTGTGCTGTGTCCTGATCTCACTATGTCTATTCAAAGCGGTCTTAGCTCTCAACAGTTGCCAAGTTTCTGAACGAGATGAAAAATATTGGGGATCACTAAGGATATCTGTATCTTTTCTGCTCACAAGGGCACCTGGGTTAAGAAGGGACAACTCTGGCCCACTAATAAAAACAGCCAAGTGACTGCTTTCAACCACATGATCCAGAGAGGATCGGCCCTCCAGCTCCAGGCCTGCATTCATTGACCACGTGAACTTGGACTAGTAACGTCGTCTCTCTAATCATCAATTCCTCACCAGTAAGTGGGAGTGACGTGTTACACAGGCATTCCACAAACTTGTGAAAATGAATTGAAGTGAACATCCAAAACGGCTTTGTTGACTGTAAAGCCCTATGCCAGTGTACGGGTTCTTTTAAATCGTTCCTAATTACATGGTTAATATTTATTAGTCATTACGTCAAAAACCCAACGATCAGAAGTGCCTGAGGTTTAAAAAAATCCCCCGGCCCATTATTAGGGTCTGGAATTGACCAAATTTGACAATTTGATGCTCATCTTTAAGTACTTTATGATTGTGTGTGTATGGGTTTTTTTTTTTTTTAACAAAAAAGGCATCATATTCTACTAATTAGTAGAATACTGTGTGGTAATTTAAAAATATATATTTTTTTGAGGAAGATTAGTCGTGAGCTAATTACTGCCAGTCCTCCTCTTTTTGCTGAGGAAGGCTGGCCCAGAGCTAACATCTGTGCCCATCTTCCTCTGTGTTACATGTGGGATGCCTACCACAGCATGGCTTGCCAAGCAGTGCCATGCCCGCACCCAGGATCTGAACCAGCAAACCCTGGGCCACCGAAGCGGAACGTGTGCACTTAACCACTGCACCCCCGGGCCGGCCCCTATGTGGTAATTTTTTATGAGGTAAATTGTTAGCTTATACGTGGAACAATGATATTTCATGTGAAAAAGTTGCAGAACTATGCATACAGTACAGTAACATCTGTGCAGTCACAGAGTAACGCTTCCTCTGGAAGGATGCACGGCAAAGGCATGAGGTAATAGTACTTTTTACTTCACACAGTTCTCTACCAATGTCACTTTTTATCTGAAGCGTACATACTTTCAGAATAATTATTAAAGACTGTGCAAGAGAAAGTCAAGCATAAGTCAACAAAATGGAGACGATAGGATCCTATTGAAAATGAAAGTACAGTAAATAGTAGGCCAGAAAAAAAGCACTGAAAAGGAAGAATTTATAAAAGAAATTGCAAAGTGAAATAAATAGAGCAAAAATGAAAGCAGCTATAATATAATTTTCAAAATTATTGATTAGGGAATGGGAAAAAAGGGATCATGCAGTTTCTGCTGCCAATTTTCTTACAATATATGATCTCCACAACAAGATACCCAGCCCTGCAGACTAGCTCTTTCTAATGGCCCCATGCAATGAAGGGTAGATAAAAGCCGGCAGGAGGGTCTGCCAAGAGAGGAGGAGGACTAAACACGATCAGTGCTCAATTGTTTCAAAGTTTTCATTATCTCATTTTTTTTTGGAAGATTTTATTTTTCCTTTTTCTCCCCAAAGCCCCCAGGTACATAGTTGTGTATTTTTAGTTGTGGGTCCTTCTAGTCGTAGCACGTGGGATGCCGCCTCAGTGTGGCCTGACGAGCGGTGCCATGTCCACGCCCAGGATCCGAACCAGCGAAACCATGGGCTGCTGAAGCAGAGCGCGCGAACTTAAACACTTGGCCTCGGGGCCGGCCCCTAATTATCTCATTTTTAAAAGTGCACGAAAAGCCATAAATTTGGGGGATGGGCAGGAATGACAATCTTATCTTCCCTGAAACATCTTTGCATTATTGTTCAACAGACTTGTGCCTATAGATAGCATTGTTCTCAATAAATCCTTGCATCCTTTCCATCAACAAATCCTGTCCTGCCTACATTCTAAATCTCCCTTGAATCTTTCTCCTCTTTCTATTTTCATCACCGTCCACCCAGTGCAGGTTCACTCCCGCCTCTTTCCCCGCAGTGGTCTCCCGAGGAGTTTCTCCACCTCCACCTTGGCTCTCCCTCTTCCCTCCGCCATTCCTTTTTCAACAAGAAAAACAGATCAATCTTCCTAAAACGTTTACAGGATGAAAACCAAAATCCTTTGCGTGACTTCAAGGGGCTGCACGATCCGTCCCTTGCTCAGTTCTTCCAGTTGCCTGTAAGGCTTCCGACTGGGATAAGCGATTTCTCACCTCAGTCTTTGCACACACTGTTCCTGCAAACTGAAATGCTCTCTTTCTACTCTACACATAACAGTTTCTCACAGACTCCCCCAACTCCCCCCTCCCCTAATCTAAATCAGATCACAATTTCTATTTCTCTATGTATTTGTACGGTGTGGGTTTTATGAGACTTCTCCACTCTGTTGACGCTGTATAATAACTACATGGGGGTTCACAATACCATCCTCTCTACTTTTCCGCATATTTTAAATTTACTATAATAAGCAACTTTAAAATTTTCCTTCTGATTCTACAAACTGAAAACAACATTTATGCCAACAATTATCCTAGCTTTTCAAATATGACGTTTAAAAGAATTTACTTTCCTTTTCATGATGAGTTCTTGTATTTTTGTTTAGAAACCATATTAGAGCCATAAAATGCCAGTATTTTAAAGTTGTAAGCAATGTGCTGTCTGCAAGAGAGTGAATTTGACATTAGCATCAGATAACCTGAAAGAACAGTCGGAAGTTCGATTGTTCTTTTGCTGTTTTTGCTACTAAAGTCTTTTATTTGAAAGCAGCATTATTATTCAGAAAAAGGACCCTAGACCTGGGATATAAAACTTCTGATTCAGTTCCAGTTTGTCCCTTTGAAGGAATCATTTAACCTTGCTTCCTTTTTTGTATAATTAATATAGTAAAGAGGAAAAGTTCTCAACTTTTATTTGATTTAAAATTCTATGTTTCCACCATTTGTAGGACCAAAACCAAAAGCAGTCATAAATAATACCAATGTTTATTTTTTTTAATGAAGCAATGATTCAAAATAATTTTTACTTGTCCTTTTTCTGTTTTTGGTGAGGAAGATTGGCCCTGAGCTAACATCTGTTACCAATCTTTGTCTTCTCCTTTTTCTCCCCAAAGCCCCGGTACATAATTGTATATGCTAGTTATAAGTCATTCTGGTTCTTCTATGTGGGATGCCACCACAGCTTGGTTTGATGAGCAATGCTTGGGTCCACGGCCAGGATCCCAACCAGTGAACCCAACGCTGCAGAAGCAGAGAGCTCAAACTTAACCACTCGGCCACAGAGCTGGCCCCAGAACTTCTTTTTTGTTTTTTGCTTGTTTTTTCTTTCTTGCTTTTATTATGAAAACAAAAACAAACGCCCCACGAGAAAGGTCCATGATTACCAGAAACACACATTTGGGGAAATCGCAGTGGTCCGCACATCTGGAGTACAATGGCTAAGCCTCGCCCTGGGCAAACCACCTTTGGGATCATGGTATCTCCCCGGCCAGGTAAGTATCACAAATTTTTTTCTTATTCATTAATAAGGTCATAACTCATCAGTGCCCTCCACATTAGATGAATCAGAGCAAAGAGTACGAACCACTTCACCTCCTGAAGGAGAGCTGACATTACCCAGAGGCATTGCATCTCCTGAAGCAGAGCTGACATTACCGCAAGGCATTTCATCTCCTGAAGGAGACTTCATAGTATGCCTGTTCTGTATTTCGTTAACAGATCTGTGCAATGCGCTGAGGTACTTGTCCTCCGGGTTGAAAGGATATGGTGATGAAATTTCCTGCCAGCGTTCCATGCTTGGGATGTTGCATCCCGTTGGCCGTGAGCCCTCAAAGAAACATCTAACATTCTCGTCTGCCAATTTGGTCGCACGCTCTGTGACTTGCGTCCTAAGGCACTGGTGCTCCTCTTCCGAATAGATTTTCCAAAATTTCAGCTGCAGGGAACTACCTCCAGCTCGGTGGTGGGAGACACAGGTAAAAATCAGAAAGAGAAGGATAACAGCTGCTATCAGGCTCCAGCCCACCACCTGAGGACAACACAACAAAGTAGCAATTTAGTCACATTTTCATGAGAAATTTTAGTCCTCAGATAAAGTTGGAAGTACTCAAAGTGATGATGATGAACAAGCAACAGTTTGGGGTCTTTCTCTGTTAAGAGAAAGAAGCGGCAATACCCTCCCGCACCCCTCAGCACAGCTGCTTGCTTGACAAGTCAGTCATTTGCCAAGTCATGTCAAGGGCCCAGGGAAGAGCCTACGTGTCACTCCTCTAGAACTCAAAACATGGGACTTGGGCAAATCCAATGAAACAAGCATTCATTTTCAAGAACCTCTGAGCTTTATAAGCCCAGAAGCGTTGTGGGATGATGGCTTTAGAGCCAAGCAGACTGATTTTATCGTAACAATTCTTCTACCTTCTTCCGGCTGGACACACAATGACCTAGACTCAGCGTGTTCGCTATAAAGACGTCAGAGAATAATGTAGGACCTAAAGGTCCCAGCGCGGTGTCTGGCACGGAGCGGGTGCCTGACGCTATTGGACACTGGCTGCCTCTTCTTCATTCGTTTTATTTCAATATTCGCCTATCAGCTCATTAGATGCAAATCGCCTCTCCAGTTTGTCTTGGATGATATTTGTCTGGAGAAAGGGCACCAAATTCGACCCCACACCGTCCGCCCCGCCCCTCTCCTCCCAACCGCACCCAGTGCCAGCTCCTGACCTGAGATTCGGCTCTGAGCACCTTCTGGAGGTCCTGCACCAAGGGGTCCTGTGCCTGTCGGCAGGGCACCAGCGGCAGCTGGGCCGCACAGCTGGAGTTGCGGCCAACGCAGAGCCTATCCGCCTTGAAGGTCGACCCGCTGGCGCAGCACTCGTAGACGGCTCCCCCGAGCAGCGCCACGGCCACCCAGGTGACGGACGAGACCACGGCGGGCCCGCTGACCCTGCAGCACTCGTCGCATAGGTCGCAGCGGTTAATGCCGGCGTTCCGTGTGCGACAGCAGCTGCACAGCAGGCACAAGGAGCGCGTCCTCAGCACGCAGCCCAGGAGATAGAACACCAGCGCCGGCAGCAGCAGGAAGACCAGGCTGTAGGGCAGGTTCCAGGCGGCGCTGCAGGGACACTGGAACACCACGGTGGAGAAGATGAGCTCCCCACTCGCTGTCAGCAGGGACGCCAGCCCACAGCCCAACTTGCTGTGGTGCTTGAGGTACGTTGCTAGCACCGTCCCAAACCTCGCTATGGCGCTACCCCAGGATGTCGTGGCCATGTCGGGATCTTTCTGCTTCTTCGCTGCCCTGCGCCGGGAATGGTTTGGGTGGACTCGGGGCTGGGCCTTTCCATCCTGATAAGAAGCAGCTTTGGGAACAGAAGGGCTTTCCGGCTTTTGTGAGCTTTCGCTTTCTTATTTCAACCAAAACACCTCTGGCTGACAAGCAGACCCAGGCACACGCACCACTAACCTCCCCAGTACCCACCCTTTTCCTGAGGAAGCGGCACTGGTGGCCTTTGTCTCCTCAATTGACTGACAAACAACTAGAACAATTCCCTTGCCCTTCCTGACCCAATGCAGCCACCCAGTGGAAACAATACTTCTGACCTGGCCAAACTGGGGAACAGCCAGATTTTCCTCTATCGCAGACGCCCCAGTTCCTAAGCCAACTCCTAGTAAGACCAAACAATGCCCAAAACAAGTTCTAGGATGTCCATGATGTTCTGTCCCCTTCCTGTCCCCCTTCTGGACAGAACCACCAGCCTAATTCTCCCACAGGATGCTAGACTGAATATATTGTATTGCCTTCTGCCCCTTTTCCTCCTCCAGGTGTGTCATGATACTGTCCGTAGCTGGAGGAGTGTCAAATTCTTACCCAGTGACCACCAAGCTAATGAGTGGGGGGAGTATGGTTGTTCAAAATGTACCAATTAAACCCCAAAATTTCAAACTACAGCTACCTCTAACTGCCATATTGTTTCCTCCACCTTCGGTTTTCTCAAAACAGCATCGCTCTGTCACAAACTGTAACCTCTTGTGTGAAACTGAGCCTTACTCTGTGTGGCTCCAGAGTGAGGAGAGGTGCACTTGAAACAGCACAGGCATCGGAGTCAGGTGCAGAGTGTCTGTGTGTGTGTCTGCCAAGTTAGCCCCACTAAGACTCAGTGTGCTCATCTGTGGAAGCAAGATTGTAGTGCTGCCTCTTCAGGGCTGTTGAGACGAGTGCATTGAATAGCTTATGTAAAGCACCTTGACACATGGGGTGAGCTTATTAAGTGAGTACTCAGCGTGAGGGATTACCTCTTATGTTGCAACTTTGGGAATAGGCAACAAATAACTGTGCTGTACATAAGTTAAGAATCCCAATGAATGTTCGATTTTAGACCAAGGATTGTAGTTAGTGACTCTACAATCCTCTACTACTTTAAGAGAATCAGTGTGCCCTTAGCTGTCTGCCTCATTACAAGGAGGGTCTCTGGATATAGATTCTGGGTGGGCGGGTCACAGTGAACTGGATGCTGTTGGTGCTGATCCACAAGCTTGGCCTTTTTTATCTGGGAAGAATAAGTGGCCCACGGAACTGAGTCAGTGTGAGAGGAGGGGTGAGACATGTATTATTCTTCTCTTGGTCCAACTTGCCTTCTTGGCAACCTCCTGCACCAGTGCCTGCAGAAAACCAACCTCCACAGCATTTTGATGATTAGCTATTCTCTCTGTGTGAGTGTTAAGAAGCCATCCCCAGATCAGGGACCCCATGGTCATGCAGGACAGTTGAGGCCGTCTTCTCTGAGATTAGACCACGTACTGCCAGGCTCCCAGGGAACTTGCAGTGAAGTTTCATGTTTGAGGCAAATCAGTTCTGCTAAGTAGTCCCTCGGGTGACCCTGCTCCTCTTCCTGCTGGACTCTTCTTCACCCCCACCCCACTCCTCTAAGATGTTGCCTCTCCCTCCACACTTTCCATATCCATCAGGAACAGATCCCACTATACCCACAACCTTGCACATGGCTCTAGCCAAATCTCCCTTAACTGTAACCTAACTACAGTGTACCCTTTCATCCTGTTGAGTGAGGTTTGTTTCTTCTCTCACATTTCTCAAAACAAGAGGGAGGCTGGCATTCTCCCATTGCTATGTGTGAATCTGGGCTTTTCCCCCACCCTCTAATAGATTGTTCTCCACTGAGGCTCAAGCTATTCAGCACAACCTCCTCCCCAACCTCCCTCCTGCCATCTGTTTCCATTCCCTTCATTTATTGAGAGGTTTGCGTCCGGTGATGGCCTTCCTCTTCTCCCAAGCTCTGCTATTTAGTCAAGGATGTGGTTTCAAATATGTTTAGTCACAGAAACTTTGATCTAATCAGTCCCCTATCCCAGCTAAAGTAATTGATTTGTTAACCAATTTATTAGTTAATTCATTTGATCATTCAATCATTCATTTAAGTGTTTAGTAAGCACCGAGAATATGCTAGGTACTTATAAAAGTGCCTGGATCACTGGATACAATAAGGAGCAAGACAAACAGACAGCCTCCTTTCACTGAGCTTACGTTATAGTGGAGAGGATGTAGATAATGAGGGGAGGGTCCTCAAGGTTACGCAGAGAATGAAAATGGAATCATGTGAAACACAGTGTCCTGAGAAAGCCTCTATGAGGAGAGGACATTTAATCAGAAATCTGAGTGACCAAGGTTCTGGGGTGCAAAGGTATTCTGTAGTTGGAAAGAAAGTCACAGTGATGGGACCATTGAGGGTGGTGGCACATCATGAGGGCAGAGCTGCAGGTGGAAGGTCAGGTTTAGGGGCTTGATAGACCAGAGTGTGTAGTTAACGATCACCTCCCTGAAACTCATTACAGCCTGAGCTGCATCCTGACCCATCATCCTGAGAGCTTGTGTCTCTAAACACCACTCGTGGGTTTGCCACGACTGTGCTCCCCCAATCAAGGGTCTACCAGGGACTGATGACCATCCCGCACTTGCTCCAGTGTTCCATAACCGTGAGAGTCCGGGTTCGGCCTGCCAGCCTGATGCGCGCTCAGCACCTGCAGCTGAGTCTAGTACCCTGAAACCCACCTCCACCAGCTCTGGAGCACTGGATGGTTCTAGTTCTGAGTCTGTTGAAGATTGCCCAGCCCTTTATACCCAGCTTTGTTCGAAGAAGACATTGCTCAGAAGTACAGCCCTTAGTGGAAACAGAGTAACATGCTCACGGTGTGGAGAGGATTCAAGAATTTTCTCTGAAAGTAGACTAAATAATATTTGAAAGACCTTTTCACTCCTGAAAATCTATAACACCAATTTACTTTGGCTTTTAAGAAATGAGTGAGACATTCTCATGTGAAACACACTGGAAAACCAATGGTTATGGGGTTTGCTTGGTTTTCTTTGTTTTTGTTTTAACTGTAGTACGTTGTTTCTCAGCACTCTCCTTATCAGGGACAGGAGTGGGTTTCGGAAACCACAAAACATTTCTCGGAGCAGAAAGCAAAAGAACTCTTGAAAGGAAATATACATCCACACTGTGAATCTGAAAATTCTTTGCAAGCATCTTCAAGTGAGCTAGTTCTCCAACATTACTCTCTGTAGTCTTTGTGAGAACTCAGACTAATGGTATGACCCTGCTTGGAATATGACTGCTAGATTCTAGTGCAGTGTCAGTGCTGGCCCCAACACCCAGCCAACAGAGTAAAATCAAATTAAGATTCATTTATCTTTAAGTGTCCCCCATGCGCAAGTATCCACTATGTGCAACAACTTTAGATGCCAAAATTAACAAGTAAATTTAGACAGTCAATACCGTTAATCTGGGCCAGCCCGGTGGCACAGCGGTGAAGTTCACACATTCTACTTCAGCGGCCCGGGGTTCGCCGGTTCGGATCACGGGTGTGGACATGGCACTGCTTGGCAAGCCACTCTGCAGTAGGCGTCCCACATATAAGAAGTAAAGGAAGATCGGCATGGATGTGAGCTCAGGGCCAGTCTTCCTCAGAAAAAAGAGGAGGATTGGTGGCAGATGTTAGCACAAGGCTAATCTGCCTCAAAAAAGAAAAAAATTAAATTAAAATTTTGAAAAAATATTAAAAAAAATTAGATTCTAAAAAGTAATACCCCTAATCTTAGAGAATATCTTTCCATATGTTATAATTTATGAACATATTGTTCAGGTTAAGTAATGTGTCTGAAAATCTGACCCAGTTATTATCTAAGATTTTCAAATGTTTGTAAAAGTTCTTCCTAGGGAAGTATAAAGCAGGAGGAAAAGATCGGGCCCTTTCGCTGACACAGGAGTGTCACATGTTAAATGACTGTCCCATGACATTCCAAGTAGCCTTTTTACAGATTATTTTCCCCTTTTCTTAGCATGAATTTTCTAAACCTCTCGCAAAATTTTAAGTATTCACTGATTCACACACTAAAACGTATTTTTTTCTTATGGAAGATTATTTTAACTCTGAGAACCTAAAAGTGACCAATTTTGTTGTCAGTGTTGTCATCGTCATGGGTGTTATCACCATCATCATCATCTGACACCAGAAGGCTATTAAAGGTCCTAGTTTTCCTTCCAGGGTTCTTAAAACCTACGCCTATTAGGAATTTGGGGAAATTAAGTATGTTTTCCTATGGACTCAAATTATTTTAAAGGTGATTTTAATGTGTGCTAGAGCTTCGTTGTCAGTGGCCACTTAGACTTTGCTTCATCACGAGCCCGGTTCCCCTGAACTCAGATTTGCTTTACTGGTTTATAAACTATGATCAAAGATTTGGATTTACAAAGATAATAATAATGAATATCAAGTAAGATTAAAGGATAAGAATAAAGAAATTTAAAATAATAAAAGGAAATGTTGGTTTCTTCAAATTGTGAATGACACTGTTGCAAAATCTCAAATTTTGCTTAACTCCATGGAGAACTTAAAGTGTCAAGGAAGATGTTCCCGAAAAGAATATATCACTGGAAATATGCTGCATATTTAAAATATTCACAATCAAGGAAAGGTCCAGTTGTAGAGAACGATTTCTTTCAATTATGGCGCATCTCTGCAATGGAATACAAAGTAGGTCCATATGATTGAGGTAAATCTGTATGTGCCAGTACGGGTGGGAAGACAGAGCAGACGTGTTAATTGGAACAGGTGAGCAAAAACACTGCATGTCAGTAATATTGTCAAGTGCTTGCCTCTGAGAAGTAGGGAAATGTTGAGATGAATGTAGGGAGAGGGGCTGATCGTATATCTTTCTTTAGTATTTGATTTTTTCAATCATGCATATGTTACTTCCTCAGCTAAAACATGTTAACATGAAATGTCTTGTTCTCACAGAGAAGCTCTAAGGAACAAGTGTGGGAAGAGGCTTTTTCACAGTCTCTCCCCTCTCCTTCCTTCTTGGCACACAGGGTTTGTATCAAAGACTTCTCCCTGAACCTGGAGTCCTAATAACTCACTTTTTGTTGCCAAAAGTGAAAAATCCTAGTGAGAAACTGTGAAGAATACAGAAGATGAAGAACTGAGTGTGTGAGAACTGAGATAAAAAGCAGTAAGAGTTGAAGAGGAAAAAGCTAGATGGAGCAGGGAGTTCAGCTTCCAGCAGTTCAGAAACCACCATCACCTCTTTTAAGTGTTGATCTACACAGGTTTTACCCCAGTTTGGAGTTAACTGTTTTAGTTTAGATTCATTAAAAACCATCTAGGTATGTGGAAAAATCTAGAAAAACAATAGTGTTTTGGTGAGTTGATATTGTTTAATGTAGGCTGAGAACTG